CTTCTTCCTTAGCTTTAATCCTCAACTCAAATGCGAATTGTGAAATCACGTGGTCGTGACATTCCTTCGGCACCGGTGCGATGACTCCTACACTCTAAGAAAAAAATGGAGGAAAAAAGTAGCAACGGCGCGTCTTCCTCCCTCCTACCGACGCGCCCCCAAGCGGACACGAGAAAAGGGGAGGAACGAAACGTTTTTCTCCTTCTCCAGGCAGACGGGAGAAAGCTTTCGCCCTCCCGACTCATCTTCTTTCGGTTTTGTTTTTCGAGCAGGTCGCGCACGTTGTTTAATAAATAGCTGTTGAGTTGATTGAGCTTCAGCGGCAACGAAGGCCGCCTGTAATTCCGTCTTCTAGTCTAAACGTGCAGAACATTTCGGTTGCATTGACGTTTTTATCACTAATTTTATCAAACGAGCAAACGAAGCCGCTAGAAACAGCGAAGTTCCGGAGCAGTGCCAGCAGCGCCACGTACACTGGGGGATGGCCGTCTCCGGATTGCGGGACTCGCGCGGCACGGAACTACAGCAACTACAGCACTGCAGTCTAGAGTCACTAGAGTAGCGAAACCACGCGGAACTGTGTCGACGTTTTCGACGTTATGGAAAGCGCAGGAACTGCGTCCAAGACAAGCAGGTTTTGCTGCGGGCTGCCTGGGTGCCTTCCCCCCTGAGTTCGGTTCTGTTTTCCGATGCCGAGTGCAACCGGCGTTCAACGTGGTTCTGTATTTCTGCGTGTCAGCAACATAGCTGCAACATCGTGATGGCAGTGTTGTGGGTTGTGAACAGAAGACTGGAATTATCGCCGATGTGACCCTGTGTTCGCGTATCAGTGGTGTAACAAGATGAGATCGTAAACTGTCGGGCATTGATGCCGCTGGTCGAGCCGTGATCGGAGGGGGCGGGGTGTCGCAAGTTGACATTCCGCTTTACATTAAAAAGTTTAATACCACTTGAGGGATTACGTGCAATCGATCAACGTGCGGGTAGTCATGTTGGAACGCTGGTCTGAACAGTGTGCTTTGATGGGCTAGTTGGTTCATGACTAGATGGAACAGCGCTCGTGTTGTCCTGTTCTTTCTGTCCTATGTTCCGCGCTGTTCCATCTGGTCTGAACAGTTGAAGCTCCTATCGTACAGTGGCCAATGTGACTGTCGGAATTGTCTCGTCCCCGAGAGCGATTGCGCTCTGGGGCAAGGACTGAACAGTACGAAATCGTGACGGAAAGTACGTATATTTACAGTATGGAATTTCAGCATTAAAAAACAATAGTAGGTAAAATAAAAAAAAAAGCCACTCTTTATTTTGTTGTTTAAATATGCTACGGTTCCTGGAGAAACTGCCCTCCGTGGCGCGCTGGGATGAGCGCTAGAAGTTTTCGGGCTCGCCACGGCGTAGCTCCGCACACTTAACACCTGCCGCAAGTCGCGGCTTTGATTGCATTCAAGTTGATCGAAAAGCGATTTCTCAGCCCGTGAAGCATCACTTCCAGCTGAGTGAATATCCGCTCTACAAAGATTAATTCAAGACCGCAATTGCAGCTTTGCGCGAACAGCACAAATAGAAAAACCAATAGAAATACAGGCTACGACGTGCCGTGTGGGGAAACAAACTCAAGGCTTCGAACCGGATTGGAGCGGCTTGATTTATCGGCTTTCAAATAATTACGGCATGATCGAGCGTTTACTTTTTAATAAGAGATTCATCCCCTGAGCCATTCAAAATACTCTTCGAGGTATGACATTGCTGGGAAAAAATCAACATGCTGGGAATATTTTTTATTGCTTAGGGAGTCACTGAAAAGTTCCGTACGTTCAAAACGACCAGTATAAAAGACGGAAACGAAAAGCACGGGTGTAGCGTTCGGGTTAGTGTCGTGTTCCGTTGTATTGACATTTGTGTGTGCCGTGTATATACAATACAATACAAACTTTATTCTCACCACAGATACATGTGGTGAATGGGAGGCCGGAGAAAAAGCTGCAGAAATGCAGCTTGACGAGCTCCGGACCCCCCACTCAGCAGCTATGACGGAGCACAAATAAAATAAAATGCGTTCAGAAATAAACAATGCAAATATAGTGCGCACATAAGGAATACATTCTTAAGTATTAAAATACAAATTGAGTACACTGCTGTTTGACATTTTCACTACATCTATATTTTGATCACAATATTCATTCAACAAAAAAGGTAAAGCATAACGTAATGTTTGTTTTCCATAATTTGTCCTGCATTTCGGAATTTTCCAAGGTTGGTGATGTCTAGACGGGTAATGATTCTCTGTTTCTTTTAATTCAGATAGTTGAAGAATTGTATTGGAACGGCCGTAAGTAGCATTTCTGTAAGCTATTGTTAAACGGTAGTTATAAATTTGCTGTATGTTAAGGATCCTATATAATTGAAACAATGATTCGGTGTGATGAATGTAAGAAACATCTGCTATTATTCGTATCACCTTTTTTTGTAATAAATGTATCATATTTAAATTTGAATCAGACGTATTTCCCCAGACGAGATTGCAATAACACAAATGGGAATAAAATAATGAGTTATATAAAACCCTTTTTACGCTTTTCGGTAGAACATGTCTATGTTTGTTCATAATTCCTACAGATTTACCCAGTTTAGAGCAGAGCTTTCTTATATGGTTAGTCCAGAGCATATTATCACAAAAAATAACTCCAAGTGTTTTAACACTATTTACAAATTCAATGTGCAAGGATCCAAAGTTGAGAGGATTGTATAATCTATCGCTCGAACCACGTGGGCGAAATATTATTGCTTTTGTTTTTGAGACATTAATAGTTAAACAATTTACTTCAGCCCATGTTTTTAATTTTATAAGAAACGCATTTGCTTTATTTACAAGACCCTCCTCGGATGAATCTGAAAAAAATACACTGGTGTCGTCTGCATAGATAATATATTTGCAACTTGAATCGAGTTTCACTATGTCATTTATATATAACAAAAAAAGAAGTGGCCCGAGGATACTTCCCTGGGGAACTCCTGATAATATATTTAAAGGTGTTGATCTCTGATTTTTAATTTGCACAAATTGGGAGCGATGCTGTAAATATGACTTAATTAGTGTGAGTGGAAGGTCGCGAATGCCATAAGAAAATAATTTATCTAGCAGGATTAAATGATTTATGCAATCAAATGCTTTGCTGAAATCTAAAAACAACCCAAGCGTCAAAATTTTGTCTTCGAAATTTCTAAGTATATGTTCTTTTTGAACTAATAAGGCTGTTTCTGTTGATCTATGTTTTCGGAATCCAAATTGACAGTCAGTAATGAGCGAGTGCTTATCACAGAAATTAATAATGCGGGAGTGAATAATCTTTTCTAACCCTTTTGAAAATACTGGAAGAATGGATATAGGACGGTAATTTCCTAACTCATTTTTGTTTCCTGATTTGAATAAAGCTACAACTTTCGCGATTTGCATTTTTTTAGGAAAGATACCGGAAGATATTGCGAGGTTGTATATGTATGTTATATATGGGGCAATAATATCTGCTACATATTTTACAGGTTTAATTTGTAAATCATCCGCATCACGACTGCCGCTGTTACTCAGACACATAATAGAGGAACACACCTCAGTCTCATATGTGGGGTACATAAAGAGCGATTCCGAAATAGGCTTAATATTTTCTGACGCTTCATGATAATAAGAGTTGTTCCCGATATTCACAAAATGGTTGTTAAATACGTTTGCCAGGTTTGAGGCACTTAAGACCTCTCCATTATGTTTAAAATTTTCAAAACTTTCTGGCTTGTAAGACGAATTGAAAACACTATTTATACGTTTCCATAATATATCGGCCTTTTTTAGACACTCAGCATCAAACAGACTAGAATAATAAATTCTTTTAGATTTTCTAATTTCCGCTGTTAGTTGGTTTCTGTATTCTTTGAAATTGACTAATGCCACTGCCTCACGTGTCACAAGAAATGTTTTATAAAGTTTATATTTTATACGCGTCTTCTTAAGGAGTGCAGTGGTCATCCAAGGCTTTCGTCCTTTTCGAGCAAGTTTAATAGTTCTATTTGGAAAACAAGAAAAATAAACCTGTTTAAATTTTTCCAAAAACGCGTTGTATGCACTATCCACGTCTTTTGAGTTCAGTACATCGGTCCAATCAGTGGCCAATAATTTCTGCCTAAATGCATCTAGTGCAAGTGGTGTAATGTTTTGGAAAGTCATAGAATTTGTGTCACGCTTATGTACCTCTCGTGTTGTGTCAGCTAGCATAAATATGGGCAGATGGTCGCTAATATCTGAGCTTATTACGCCAGCTTTGATATTTTCCTTCTCATGGTTTGTAATAAAAAGATCAATTAATGTTGATGTAGAAAGTGTAGTGCGTGTGGGATGAGTAATTACATTAACAAAATTGTTCGCCGTTAACAATAATAACAAGTCGGCCGCGTTGGGGCTCGTTTCTAACAAATTAATATTTAGATCGCCACCAATAAAAAGAACATATTTGCTTTCGTTTGCGTGACACAGCAGTTTATCTAGAAATGTCAAAAATCGTGCCACATTCCCGCTGGGCGGACGATATATAACAGCAAAAATATAAAAGTCCCGTTTTATACACAGTATTTCATAGTCATCCGTAACAGATGTGTATTCAGGAATATTTTCGAAATTATCACTCGCGACAAGCATAGCGACACCACCCCCCCGCCCGGAAACACGATTTTGATAAAAATGATTATACTGGGGGAGAATAAAAAAATCTGTTTCATCTCTGTACCACGTTTCCGTGAACATTATGACATCGAACGAGCATTTACATGACTCAAAAAGAAACATAAGGTCGTCTGTCTTAGATCTAGCTGACCTAACATTCAGGTGGAAAAGTTTCAAGAGTTTACTTGTTTTATTTGTTTCGTTACAAATATCTTGCGGAAGAAACAGATCGTTGTCTGCCATTACCTAGCAGAAAAAACAATAAAAAGGAAAACGCTTATCCTACAATTTTGGCTTAGCAAATCTTGTCGAGATCACCGTCGTGTTCTATCGATACGATATCTGCGGTTTCAGATCTACGGGCCCAAATCTTGCTGTTTCGCACCCACACGTATTTCCATCCCGCGTCTCGCTTTTTTGCAGTGGCCTTTCCAAGTAGTTTCTTCAAGGTCGGGCACAAATGCTCGTTTACAAAGACCGCGTTGTCAGTCGATAATCCGAAGTCTTTGTTCGTGAGTCGCTTTTTCCTGGCTTTTGCAAGCACCTTTTCGCGTTTCTCTCTTCGTACGAACTGCACGATAATATTTTGCTTGTTTAGTTCTCGTGTGCGGACTCGGTGACAGATTTCAACATCTTGTTTATCAATCGGTTCGCCAATTAGTTCACCAAGCTTGCACAAAGTTGCATGAAGATCCTCGTTTTCAATAACTGCCATTCCTTTTATCTCTAGGTTGTAGGCGCGAGAGTGCTGTTCGCATTGGACAATGCTCATCCGGTTTGCTTTCACATCCCCCTCAAGGGCGTGATACCTCGCTCGAAGCTCATCATTTTCTTTTTTTAACGCGGAAACTGTCTCGACTTCGTTTGCAACTTTCTTCTTCATGTTCTCAAATTCAGCATTTATAAAATCCATACTAGACTTCACTTCCCGTATATCTGAACGGAGGTCACGAATTTCATTGCGAAAGTCCCTCTCTATCGTTTCCCTCAAGGATTTCCACTCGGTCCTCATCTCATCCCGCAATTCTGCGAAAAGGCGCGTAAGGTCCTTCGCCATTCGGTGGGTTACACCTTATCGTGAACAACAACACAATTGGCAGCAGCGACGGCAAGTTTTCTAAATGTTCGGGTAATATTATATAGTAAAACACCAACCTGCAAAGTAGCGCAGTTTTAGAATGATGCGTGGACTGCCGTCGCGGCTGCCAAGTGATGAGCGATGCAAGGATCCTCTTCTTATAGTGCAGACGACAGCAGTGGCCTCATACAGCGGTCAGTTGGTATCGTAGACGTCCGAGGGGAAGGCAGCAGCAGTGACGGAGCGTATCCAGCCAGGCACAGGATCGTGGGCTGTCGACGATTGCAGGAGTAGCGTTATCAACCGGAACAGGCGATTGAAGCAGTCTGCAAAGTAGCGCAGTTTTAGAATGATGCGTGGACTGCCGTCGCGGCTGCCAAGTGATGAGCGATGCAAGGATCCTCTTCTTATAGTGCAGACGACAGCAGCGGCCTCATACAGCGGTCAGTTGGTATCGTAGACGTCCGAGGGGAAGGCAGCAGCAGTGACGGAGCGTATCCAGCCAGGCACAGGATCGTGGGCTGTCGACGATTGCAGGAGTAGCGTTATCAACCGGAACAGGCGATTGAAGCAGTCTGCAAAGTAGCGCAGTTTTAGAATGATGCGTGGACTGCCGTCGCGGCTGCCAAGTATGCTCAATGTATGTTCACCTGATGCTTGTAATAAGTGTAATGTGTATAGTAAGGATCCCCAAATGCAATAGTGGCCTGGGTGGCCTGAGAAAAGCAAATTATTTTTTGTAGAACATGAATTGGGCGGTACCTGGCGCCACCTAGCCTAGCTACTTGCAATTAATCTGCTTGACCCCGCCATCTGGTGGCTAGCGATTTCACCTTCTTTCACGCTACGCGATAAACAGCGGCTTCGAGTTTGTTCTTTCGAGAGCGGCTTTTGGTTTCGCGAATGGAGTTTGTCCTTCTCCGTGATGTGCGGTTGACGAAGGAATTGTGACTCGAGGAACACGAAAGGTAAGACGCAAAGTGCGCGAAGTAACTGGGTATCGGTTGTCTCCGTTTAACATCGCAGTGCTGTCGACGAGAAGACTGAGTAACTGTTTTCGAAACGCAAGTTTCTGTACCTGTGGGGGGAATCTGGCTTCGGAAATAAACACAGTTTGCGGAAAGCTCGTGTCACGCTTTTATTAGCTGCTCCTCTCGTCCCGTACAAGAGACGTAGCGTCCTCGTCAAGCCTAACTGGGCTCGATTTGCTCGATTCGGGGCCACCATATTGAGATGCAAGCGGCGGAGGAACTTTGCTCCCTTGCTTCAGGGACGAAAGTTTCTCCCTTTCTAAAGGAACATAAGTTACAAGACCGTTCCTCCCCTAAGGGAGGACTATCCATACCCTTTTTTCTAAGAGTGTAGCTTCCACCGTGCTTTTCATGCACCACCATAGAACTTGTCATTCCCCAGTGACAATAAGTTCCGTCAAGGCACTCATTGGCCACGACCGCGAATCCCAAATATTCCTCGACGGATTGATTGTTGACGAGCACATACGTCCGGGTGACGCAGTTCTCGTGTCCAATGCGTGAGCTGGGCTCTGCTGACGTCAGTTGGGCGCCGGTGACGCGCTTTTGGAACCGCGGATGTATCATAGTGAAAAGGCGGAGAGCTTTCGAAGGCAAGAAGGTACAAAATAGTCCGCTATATTTTCAAATGTTCGTACCGAAAAGCTGGCTTTTGACTTTCTAGCCTCCTTCTTTTGGCCAACTAAACGATACGCGATTAGTAAAGTCCCAATTTAAGATCATTCATCCCAACCCAAAATTCGTTTCATGGGCCCTTTAAGTGGGCCTTAAGGCCTGTTCACACATGTAGCGGAGCGCTACAAGCATAGCGCTGACCTCGCGCTAAGCGCGTGCTCACGGGAGTGTTCACCAGCTTTGTATCGCACCGTCGAAACTGTTGCTCATGGCACACGATAAGTAGCTGACGCCACGTGAGCAGCGCAACATCAACGCTTGGCTGCATGTGAGAAGCGGCCTTAATTCTGCTATCATCGACGGCGATGAAAGCAATACGAGACTGACAACTTCGATGGTGTTGGTATAAAGAGAAACTAATGCAGTTCTTTATATGAGGACGAAAAAAAAATGTAATCTTGTATATTTTGTCTCCGGGATCACAAACATAAAATTTAATATTTATATATCAGATTTCTGCGCCAATTAACCGCCACAGCACCTTCAGAACTGCGCTGAAGCCACTTCCCGGCGCGTTCGGAGGGAGGATGGAGTCGTGATATTTTTTACGGAGATCTCCTAATTTCCGCTCTTTTCGCAAATACCCTAGAAGTCAAAAACGCTGAAAGCGTTCCTTCCCAAGAGGCTCGCGCAAAACAGTTCAAACTTCTGGGTATGACATCTCAACCAGCGGTTAATTGGTTTTCCTGTTTTTCGATCGTGTCTAGTGATACGTTTGGTTCAAATGCTCGTGATATTCAAATTCACCCGACATTAATACGCTATAAATCATTTTTAACTCGCTAAAAAAAAAACAAAAAAAACACTATTCAGATATACTTTAAGAACGCAATGACTCCAAACTTCCATCGTGTTCTACGCACACCATCGAACGTGCCGTTCCCGTCTGATAATAAATAGTCAAGATCACAACTCGTGACATCACAACGAGGCAAATCCAGCTCATGACGTCACGAACTGGAAGTAGAAGAAGGCGCCACTGAAACATCTGGGCGCTAATACTCGTTTTCACTAGAGTCATTAATAGGCCACGCTTCAGTGTACCGACACTCTAGTAACCTTATAGTGCCTGAAATCACCGTTGCCAGGTATCCGAAGCTTGGTGTGAAATATGAACCCGGTTTTTTGTCCCTCGAAAATGCTAACACAGTCCACGAAAGACCAAAGCGATATCGATTCCTGACAGCGTGTGGTAACGACCGCCAACAGACCCTTTCAAAAGTCCATCGAGCAACATTGGCGGTCGCCATTGCTTGGACAAGAAGCGCGTGATTGGATCCAAGTCCTTGCCGAACGATGACGTCGCACTTGTGGCCCATAAGAGCTCAGCCGAGTTCACGCCGTACGCCGACGCAGACCTCGTGTCCAATGCATGCTTAAAGCACGTGATCGAGCAATGGTGGACGGGAGTTGGCGAGGACTTTTGAAAATGGTCTATGGCGCCCGCTCAGCACTCGGCAACAAAGTGGCGGCAAGCACAACACAGTCGGGTGATAGAGTCTGGATACTCTAAGAGCATCTTATTTTAAAATCGTATGCGCTTGGGCTAGTTGGGGATCCATGTTTGTGAGAGTAAAAGCGCTAAAAACAACAGACAAGTAAAAGAAACATACCACACAGAGCGCTACTTGCAACTGAAGTTTATTCCCAGGAAACACACATATATATACACCGTGAAATCGTGACATGCACTTCAGAAATGCGACATCACCCAATCAGTGTTCGTCTGTTCACTATCTACTTTAAGGAAGATTTCAAAAACGCCACCTCAGATAGCCCTGTTTGGCGCTGAGGTGGCGTTTTTGAAATCTTTCTTAAAGTAGATAGTGAACAGACGAACACTGATTGGGTGATGTCGCATTTCTGAAGTGCATGTCACGATTTCACGGTGTATATATATGTGTGTTTCCTGGGAATAAACTTCAGTTGCAAGTAGCGCTCTGTGTGGTACGTTTCTTTTACTTGTCTGTTGTTTTTAGCGCTTTTACCCTCACAAAACAGAGCATCTTATTGCGCGGCTATAGTTTGCACCTCAAGAAAAGTAGTAAAAAAAAGTCCTGCTCCCCACGCGGAGCTTTACTAATTTCTCTCTTTATGTGGTCAATTAAGATACTCGAGTGTTCATTTTAAGTAACCTATGGGTTGTTTTAAGAAAACGTTCACGTTTTAGACCTTAAAGAAACGCATTGCTTTTCTTCTCTGAAAACCGAATCTTGTTCGGGAGCAGAAGCGTCGGAACTATTCGGCAGGTAAAACAAAAAGAGGGGGGGGGGGGGGGAGTCTTTTTTACTACTGGTTAAATAAGATTTCCGGATTTTCCAACGCCACCGCCACAGAGAGTATGAACTATGCGCAAAACATTTCTTTTTCTTGGGGTGGTCATAAATCTCCACCGTCTTCAGAAGTCAGCACACTCATCACGTGACGTCATGATGCCACGTGACTCTGTGATGTCGCCTCACTAATGGCGACCCAGCTTCTCTTCGTTAGGAAAGCTGGACTTCCACGAGAGCATGGACCGAGCAAAGAACAATTGATTACCACGAAATCCTCTTCCATTGTCCTTCAATTCACGAAATTGAGGCTGCGTAATTTCAATTATTTTTTTTTTTCGTCTCCTTTGCATTAGAGCAGAAACATCGAAATTTCTGCAATGGCCACTATAGTGGGTAAGGGCTCTGACTTTTCAGAAGGGACTCGATTACAGTCTTAATCTGGTTCCAGATATGTTTCAGTGAAACTAACGTTCCACATATTCTTTCTGGGACGAGTCATACTTTTATGTAGATAGGGTACAGTCATATCTCATTAATATGAACCCCGTTAATATGAATACCCCGCTATATGGACACCCTTTTCGGGGAAAAACTATGAAAATACGCGCCTCTTTGCCTGGTTATTATAAAAAAAAACTCATATTATGAACGACTCTTAAGAAGAACAGAGGTGTCCATATTGACGAGATATCACTGTATCATATATATAACGCCGAGTCTCTTCGCTTCCTTTTTTTTTTTTTTAATCTGGATCATGTAGGTGTTTTGTAGGTTGTCGTTCTACTTACAGCCCGTTTCCCGTTTCCTGTTTCATTTAAGCGACAACCTGCTTCAATTAAAAGTTCCAAGAAGTGCTTTTTTGGTACCAATATAGTCTACGACTATTTGAAACACCGGTCTGTATAAACTATGAAGTAGGTCTAGCACGGCTCTTCCAAGTGAAGTGGAACTTTTATCCAGAAAGAAACGGTTATAAGCGAAACCTAAGCGGAATGAG